GGACTGGCAGTTGGAGGGCAAGGTGGCCCGGGGCTGGCAGTTGGGGAGCAAGGGGGCCCGGGGCTGGAAGTTGGGGGGCAAGGGGGCCCGGGGCTGGCAGTTGGGGGGCAAGGGGGGCCCGGGGCTGGCAGTTGGGGAGCAAGGGGGCCCGGGGCTGGCAGTTGGGGGGCAAGGGGGCCCGGGGCTGGCAGTTGGGGGGGAAAGGGGGCCCGGGGCTGGCAGTTGGAGGGCAAGGGGGCACGGGACTGGCAGTTGGAGGGCAAGGGGGCCCGGGGCTGGCAGTTGGGGGGCAAGGGGGCCCGGGGCTGGCAGTTGGGGGGGAAAGGGGGCCTGGGGCTGGTAGTTGGGGGGCAAGGGGGCCCGGGACTGGCAGTTGGAGGGCAAGGGGGCCTGGGGCTGGTAGTTGGGGGGCAAGGGGGCCCGGGACTGGCAGTTGGAGGGCAAGGGGGCCTGGGGCTGGCAGTTGGGGAGCAAGGGGGGCCCGGGGCTGGCAGTTGGGGGGGAAAGGGGGCCCGGGGCTGGCAGTTGGAGGGCAAGGGGGCCCGGGGCTGGCAGTTGGGGGGCAAGGGGGCCCGGGGCTGGCAGTTGGGGGGGAAAGGGGGCCCGGGGCTGGCCGTTGGGGGGGGAAAGGGGGCACGGGGCTGGCAGTTGGGGGACAAGGGGGCACGGGGCTGGCAGCTGGAGGGCAAGGGGGCCCGAGGCTGGCAGTTGGGGGGGAAAGGGGGCACGGGGCTGGCAGCTGGGGGGCAAGGGGGCCCGGCCCGGCCCGGCCCGCCTCACCTCGCCTCGCCTGGGCGCGGGCAGCACGCCGCGCTTCGCTGGGCTCGGCTCCCGCGGGGCGGGGAGAGCAGAGGCGCGGGCGGGGCCGAGGCGGAGCAGCGGGGGCCGGGAGCCGCGACGCGCTCACCTGCCGCGGGGCCCCGCTCCCGGCCCGGGGGCCCCGGCCGTCCCGCGGCAGCCGCTCGGTGTCCCTCGGGGCCCCGTTGTCCTGGCAGGGCGCGCCGGTGCCCCGGCCGAGAGCCCCCCCCGCTTTGGCGGGGCGCGGGAGGACCCCGCTGTGTTTGCCCCGGGGCGCTGGGACCGCGCTGCCGTCACAGAGGGGGGGGGGGCGCGTCACGCGCGCAGCCCCGGGGCGCTGCCCCGGAGCGGGGGGGGGGGGGGGGGGGGTCGCAGCCCCCTCCCGGCACTGGGGGCCGGCATCGCATCCCCCTCGGCCGGCCCTGCCCCGGGCAGAAAACACCCAGCGCCCTCCTGCTGCCCCCGGGGCCGGGGGGCTCCCCGGCCGGCGGTGGGGGCGAGACCTCAGGCGGGAGCCCCCCGAGTCCGGTCCCCCCGTGTCCCACCCACCCACCCACCCCCCCCGCAAGGCACGGCCCCGGGGGCTTCTTCCTCTGAATTTTACAGTCTGCCACCCCCGCCGCAAAATCCCCACGAGCAAGCATGCCCGCGATTAAAAAGAAAATACGTGTGTGTGTGTGTGTGCGTGTGGATAGCTAGGTTTGTATGTATATGCGTGTGCGGTGACTGGTGATCCCCACAGCCGCAGGACACACACCCAGGGGCTCGGGAACGGCCGCAGGGCAGAGCCACAGCTCTGTGCAGGGAGACAGCCCCCCCCCCCCCCCCAACACTGCTGCTGACACGGGAAAGCTGGGAAGCAAAGGGTCTGCCCTTGCTTTTCTCTTCTCCCCTGAACCATGCTATGCTTTCCTCAGGCTTTTATTTCTCACTTTTTTTTGCTTTCTGTCCCTCCCCCCGCAGCAGTTCCTCATCACATTTCCCTCCTCAGGCTCACGGGTAGAAGGTTTAAGCATCCTTTCAGACAGACCCACGGCCCCGTCCTGTGTGTGAGCAGGTAGCTCACGGCCAGCCTCTGCCTACAGCAAGAGGTGCCTGCTCGGGGCTGGAGCTCTCCCAGTGCCCTGGCTGGTTAGAGCCAGCTGAGAGCACCTGGCCTGTGCAGTGCCTGGCCGTGTCCTGCCGGGAGAAAGGCTGTCCCCCCGGACGGGCTCTGAGGGGGCTGGCAGGTACCCCATAGACTATCTGCTCTATAGAAGTGTGACACAAGTGTTTGAGCACTGAGGCCACTGCAGGGGCAGGCAGAGCCATGTCGACCTGCACGTGGGAGGCATCTGAGTGCCAGAAGTTGCAAGATAAAGAAAGAAATAAGCACACGGGACCGTAGAGGGGCAGGACACCCACGAATGATCGGCAAAGGCAGCAGCAGGACAAGCAGCACCAGGACAGATGAGATCCTCCCTTTTGGGGGCTCGGTAAGTAGCACAAGACTGTCCTGCGTGAAGAGGAAAAATGGAGAAGTCTTTTCCAGTTCTGACTTCTCTCACCAACGGGCTCTCCAGCCTGATCACACTGACTGCAGCAGCTCGGAGCACCAAGGGCCCCAGTCTCTGGAGGTGTGTAGCTTTTTGCAGTGTTTATGGGATGCCAAGGGAAAGAGAGGGAACTGTTCCCCTGAGAAACAGCCTGGCTTGCTTGTTTCTACCTTTTAAGTAACTTTCCCTTTCCTTCTCGAAGGCAGCTACCTGTTTAAAGAACAAAATGCTTTATCAAAGTTAAAAGAATGCCTATATCAGTTAAAATAAAAATTATTCTTGCTTAGATTTAAATAATTTTCTTTATCACCTAAAATGATTTACCAAGATGGATGCACATCTTGCAAATATTGCCCATACTTCTGTAATGGCATTTTCCAGATGGAGAAATCAAAACGTCCTTCTGTGCATGCTGTAGCTTCAGCCAGCAAAGTATTCCTCCTCCGTCGTCCTCACCACTGACACCATCATATGGCTGACTGCCTGGCTGTCTTTCTGCTAAAAATTCATCAAACATTTTTTCTTTCTGATCCTGGCCTACATTTGTCTGGGTAATTGTCCAGATTTCCTCTACTGATTCTTGTCAGTCATTCAGGTCTACAGTCATCTCTGTGCCCATCCTCCTGTGTTCACTTGTACCTATCTGCCCGTGTCTCCTGATTCCATGTCCATCTGTAGCAGTCTGGTTTACAGGTATGGTTTACAATCAGATTAAAACACTGAATGTTGATTTTTTTTATACGTGGCATTTGGCTTTTGGTAACCGCAGGGGGTAATTCTTCCTGACCCAGCTTGCAGGCGAGCTTCCAGGAAAGGCACTGGACAGACTTGAAGTCCTCACGGGCCGTTGCCAGGCTGTGTGGAGTTCTGTTCTGCTCTGGTAGGGGTCAGCGAGAGGGAAGATCTCACAAGGCACAGCTTAGTCCTTGGTGCCTGAGCAGAAAAATAACCAGTGCCAGGCTGCCCAGAAGATGCTGGGCCTCGGGGGTGACAGTGCTCCTTCACGTGGGGCAGCGTCCGATTCCCCAGTGGCGGTAGCTGTGAATCTCGCTCATTTGAAGTAGACCAGTTTAACTTCTGTCCTGCCCTTTCCCAGGCTCAGCTTCGCCCCAGACTCCCCTCCTGCTGCAGGTCACTCTGGGTCCCATCAGCCAGGCGACGAGGGGTGCAGGGGCCCGGGTCCCTGCGCAGCGGCGGTGTCTCACGCTTGGCCTGTGCCCCCGCCTGGCCCCTCTGCAGGCTGCAGCCCCCTGGGGGGGTGGGCTGACCCTGGCTGGCAGGTGAGCCCCCGCCAGCTGCTCACTCCCCACCTCAGCGGGATGGGGGGCAGGATCAGGAAGGCAAAAGTGAGAAAAAACTCGTGGGTTGAGATACAGAGGATTTAAGGAGGAAAGGAAACTCCCTCGGGAACTATTCACAGACTCCTGCCCTGGCTGAGGTTGGAAGGGACCTCTGGGCGCCAGCGGGTCCAAGCCCCTCCTCAAGCAGGGCCACCTCCAGCCACCTGCCCAGGACCCTGCCCAGACGGTGCTGGAATATCTCCAAGGTGGGAGACTCTAAAACCTCCCTGGGCAACCTGAGCCAGGGCTCAGTCACCCTCTCAGGGAAAAAGGGTTTCCTGACGGGCAGAGGGAACCTCCTGTGCTCCAGACTGAACCCGCTGCCTCCGGTCCTGCCACCGGGAATCAGTGAAATGAGCCAGGCTCCGTTCTCTCTGCGCTCTCCCTGCAGGTAGTTGCACACATTGATAAAAAGGCTCCTGAGCCTTTTCTCCAGGCTGAACAGGCCCAGCCTGTGCATGGTAAAGGCCTTTTTCAGGCAACTGCATAGATCAGGAAGGCCATCATCATCTTGATATAACCAGAGCTAAAGACAATCAGCTCACCAATATCTTCCCTTATTTACGGCTTGTTATCCATCTGGTCAACTCTTGATCCATTTCCTGGTCCTCACCACTGCCCCTCTCACTGTACAGCTCCCCATTAGAAGGGATTGAATCCTCTTGCTCTCAGCCTTTACCAGTGTTTGGGGCACAAGAATAAGGAGAACAGGAGAAATGGAACTAATTTCTCAACTCCATTTCTTCCTGGGGGGAAAGCATTGTTTACTGGTGATGGGAGTCCAGGAAGGAATATGTCAGTATGTAGGGTGGATAATCCATGGACCAGGGTGGAAAGAAGCCCAACAGCCCACGTGTTGCATTATCTGACTCATTTAGAGCATTGTCTCATTCTGTCAGACAAGTCACCCCTGAGACGCCGTCAAACAGCCGCATGTTGCTACTGGCAAAGTAACAACCACTCGGTGTTACGTGTGAGACTAGCATGGCACACGGACGTGCTTACAGTGTCTCAGCTCAGGAGATGGCTCAGGAATGATGGCTGATGGTAAATGCGCTACCGTGATGGCAAAAAGCTGCCTGAGCATGCCCATGGCAGTCTGAAATCTTAACTCCCAGCCTCATCCCACCACATATCGACGGCATAAATAATTACACAAGCTGTAGTGTAGTGGTGAAACTCTAATCCAAACTATGTTCACTGATGCTGACCTTTGTAATGCTGTGAAGTACAGTACAGGAGTCCATCTGATACTAGAAACCTCTACGGCTTCTTGGAGGGAAAGAGTGTTTTCTGCCAGGGTAAGACTGATTAAAATAACACACAGTTCCAAGTTGATGCTTGTTTTATTAGAGTGCCATCTAACAATCTATAAATGTAAAATTCCCAACTTATGACACTCAAGGATCAAAACCCTAAAGTCTGTTTTCCAAAAACTCTGGGTTGTGAAGAAAAAGACATTCTAACCCAACATCTTCAGAACGCTAACTTGGAAATGTGAACAAAGTAGAACTTAATGTAAAACATTTAGTAGCTGAGACAAGCAATGTGAAAAGCTGAATTACAAAGGAAACAATACAACCCAACATTCACGCTACAAGTTTACCTTTCCACAAAAGGTCAGTACCTCCAGATCAGTTCTTTCCACCAAAAAGATGCTGTAGTGGCAAAAAGATTATGCTGGGGAAACAACAACAAAAAGAGCACGTTAGACTTCAAATACTTCTCTGAGAATTATAATAACAAGGTAATTTCTGTCCACCAGAAAGACACAACCCCAGCACAAAATAGCACGGAGAAAGACTGAAAAAACAGAGGAAACATCAAGAATAACTTGTGCTCTAACGGTCTAGTCTCAATAGTTAAAGGTGCTGGCATACATTATGATTAACAAGAGGTTTTATTTCTTCCCAAACTAACTCACCTAGCAAACAAAGAGTTACGGCTGATGCTCAACTTGTGCTGTGCAAGGAACAGACTGCTCTTGCGGGATACAGCTTCAGCAGCTTTTGAGCACCCGTTTAGTCAGCAGTGCCCAGCGACTGCTTGCGTGGTTACTTGAATTTCGGTTTAAAATGATGGCTTTGGGATTCAAAGGTAAAAAGGCCTCAGTTGCTGAGTGGCCAAATAAAGGCCATCCTTACCTTAACGGGACGGAAGGTCCGTCCTGGGAAGGCCCTGTTAGAAGGGGAAGTGTTTAAGTCCCTTAGAAATCGAGCTGGCACTCCTCAGCTGATCAAAGCCACACTCTGTGAGGGCTGTGACTGAGGTCACAGGCAGTGACCCTCCTGTGAGGAGTTTTCTTCCCAAAGACAGCTCAGAAGAGGAACATTTATTGGGAATGCTGCCCCTTACCACAGGACAGAAGTGCACCCCTGAATGTTCCTTTGCCTTAGGAGACTTTGGTTGAAACACTGAAAAGAGGTCTCCGTTCTTCCAGATAATATGGAATCACCTGAACTGCCAGAATCAGGCACAGGCTTGGACACAGGCTCAGACTGCATCTGCTCACAGCAGCAGTACTAGTACCTTCTCCAGAACGCTGAGCGACCTCTTCCTTCAGGCTCCACGTTTCCCTTGTTTACCGTTTGGGCCATTTGCTGCACGAGCTGCACGGCACCCTCCGCCTGACCAGCTGCTGCTCTTTGTTCAAGGTCAGGCTCCACAGGTCCCCCTGTGAGAAACAGCAGCAGGAACACAAACACAGGCTCGCTCTTCTCCATGCTGCCTGTGTACCCAATGGCAGACCCTGCCCTGAGAGGTGGGCCCACACTCTGACTGCCCTGATGCCTGGGAGCTTTCAAAGCAATCACAGTGCAGACGGATTTGGAGTTAGGCTCCCATCTCACAGTCTAGCTTGGAAAGAGCTACGTAGTCTAGCTCTGTGGGTGAGAATTTGTTAGGCAGGATGAGAGTCTCAGCCAAAAGCACTGGTGACCTACCACTTCACGGTGGTTCCAATTCCTAATCTCACATGCTGGAAAACACCAAACACCATTTTTGAGGAGAAACTAATACCAATGTAATCCTCGATGCTTTTGATTTCATACAACCAATGTGAATGAAACAATCCCAGAACTCCTTACTTACAGAAACGCATGTGATTACAGCCCATGGAACGGGACGCAGGACTAAACTCACACTCGTTTTCTCTGGAGTGATTCTGAAAGGAAAAGGAACCCAAGAACTGTTACACAATGCAAAATTCTACTGTACAGGAGATTTTTGTTTGCCTGCTTGCTTGCAGAACTAAAAGGCAAGGCCTACTCTATTCTTCCGTGATTCTGGGTTTTTTCCTGCTACTCCGAGGACTTTCTCCACCAATTTATTTCTACCCCTCCCTCCTCGGGACATTCCTCAGGACAGCCACGTGACTGGGGCACTTCCATGCTCAGATTTCCTTCACATTTAATGAGATCCTTCCCTTTTTGAGATGCATTCTAAAACACCAGGTGGATTTGCATCCACAGTCACACTGCTGATGAACTGAACAAGAGCCCTGGAGGAATGATCAGAAGAATCCTGAGAAAGTACAGGAGCTACCGATATGGTTTTTCCTAAACCTAATTTTTCTTCTTATCTTGAACACCCAAAGAAACCAAACCGAAAGCAAACCGAATGGAAAGCACGACACAGAAGCACCTGGCTCTGATCTCCTAAAAAAAGGCACATGAAATCATGACTCATATGCCCATGATTTCATGCGGTACTCTGGACATCTGGTCTGGTGTTCATATAGAGAAAACAGTCTGTGCCCAGACATCCCTCTCAGTGTAACAGTGCCCTGACTAGTGCAAATTCAAGGGATGAGTCATGGTGACATGAGCATCTCTTCTGGAGAAAGTTCTTCTCACCTAAATTGGTATTTGCTGGGTTGATGATTCATTCATCATAGTTCCAGCTCACCTGGAAAGAGCTCAGGATGTGTCCTCCCACATTGCCCAACACATTACGAGGTTACGGTGATGTCTGCCACCTAACACATTCTTTCTCAGGGTCCAGCATGGTAACCTGGAGCTCCAGCCTTCAAGGACTCCCATGTTTGGGAAATTCAGCCACCGTACAAGGAGCGGAGGCATTCTGGGGACCATGATTATAGCACAGTGGGGAAGAAAAAGGCGTCTTTCAGAGGATGACCCTTATCCCACCAAGAGTGTTCGGAGCACCTGAGGAAAGAAGCCAGAAAGGGCATGTGTGGAGACTTGTCACTAATCCTGCACAGTAAGCTGAGGAGGGAAAAAGAGTGACACAGGTTTTAGAGACAAATAAGCCTGACTGTTTTAGAGAAGTGCTCCTGTACTGAGTGCTCCTGAGGAGTTACCAAGCAATCTCCTTCCTACCTTGAAAATCCAACCAACCTGTCCAAACCCCCTCTTCCGAAAGAAAGTCTTGGGCTTACAACAAGGTGAGGGCTGTTTTAATACAGGAGTTTATCTGTGCAGGCTGACGGTAACCATGCAACTAGTGGCACCTGACACTGCAGGCCGTTGGATATGCAGGGAATCCCTGCAAAGCAATTATGCTGCAACTGGCCCTCTGAAACCAGTTTTCCAGGAGCAAGCAGGCAGGAAGCCCTGGCCAGGTGACCTTTCATGCAAGCCCACAGGTGACAACTGGGTAAAGACTCAGCCAGTTGTGGAGAGGTACAAAAGGTTCCTGGAATGGGGGCAGCCCATCATCATGCAGAAACACGCAGAAATCTGCATATTTGATGCAACTGTTCACGTCCTAAGGAACAGCGGGAGAAGCAGCTATTCCTTTTATGCCACCAGGCAACTCTCTGTGTGGACAAGCCCAAGAGGAATGAGTTTGCCTCCTCGGAAAATAATCTCTCTGAATAACTGGAAAGGGAAAAGGCCCCAGAGGTGACAGTGTGGTAGGGATTTGAACTAAATTTAGAATGGGTATCAGTATTAAGAAAATGGATGAAAGGCACTGGGACATTTGGGAGGATGGGCAACAGACAGGAGGGGGAGAACAGGGGAGTTAGGGAAGACCCTGTTACCTATTGTGTGTGCACAGCAACAGCTCTGTCAGAGCAGCCTTTTAGCTGATGGGCTAAAAGAGAAAGAATCTTCCCCTCCTGACAAGGTCTCTGCAGAACAGTGGGTTTAGAAAGCAGCTGCCAATCCCCCTGGGCCAATCCTGTTGTAAATCTGCCTTCTGATGACAGAGTGAGAAAAGGCATGACACCATTTCGAGCAGAGGGAGATGCCTGCAAGGCCATCTGCACAGCGAAAGGACACTGGTGGAGAGTGGCAAGGACTCACGCTGAGCCCAGTGTCAGGGGGTCAGCACCCACTGTTGGCCCTCCACGGAGTTCTGCATGAGGGGGCATCTGAGGTAAAAGAGGACTGGAGTCTTGAAGACAAAGCAGGTCATCCTTCAGGCTCAGCCCTGAGAGCCTAAGCTCACCCTAGAGTTCATAGCTTGACAGTCAGAAAAGCTTGTGCTGTTTCCTGGTAAAACTCACTGATGAGCAGGAATCACAAATGTCTCAACGCAGGTGGTAAGGGGAAAAAAACTCCCTGAAGGCATTTTTATGCTTGCCAGCTTAAGAATCTAGAACTAGACAGATGCCGTTGCCTCTTTCTGAATATTCTGTTGCTTACCTTTTCAAATCCATGCTTTGCTGTATTCATGTGGTGAACACACTCGGCTCTGGGTCTAAAAAGAAGTCAAAGAAGTAAGGACTGAGTTTACAAAAAGTCACAAAAAGGAAGCAATCTTGTAAATGGCTACTCCAAGTATTCCATCAGAAATCAGGGCTTTAGTACCTCTAGCCAACAAGACAGATGCCCTTAATCTCTACTTGTACTCATGTTTCAAAGTCTGACTTCAAAAACGAAAATATGCCCTCGTTCCAGTATTAGGTTGTCTGCTTTTCTAGCAAAACCAACAAGCAGTTAAAGGAAAAAAATAGTGTTATATGACATGGAAAAGGGGGTAAGCAGCGAGCTGAGAAAGCTTGCAAATCCTACAAGGTTACTGATGCAAAGAGAAGGGCAGGTAGCAAAGAACCATAGAAAGATCTTACAAGGCTCGGTCATGGAGCAATAAAGCGGCAGAGGAAACTCTGTACAGAGACATACAAAGTGATGCCCATGGGGAAAAACAATCCTGGCTTCACACAGAAAATAGTGCTCTTTGAGCTGACCACTATCACTGGGGAGTGACACCTGGAGATTCTGATAGCTCAACACTCAATAACACCCCAAGAAAACCCAACTCCAAATCCCCCATGAGGAATTCTGAGCAAAAGAGCTTGTCCAAAAAGAAAAAAAGATCAAGAGGTCTGATTACAGTAGACAAACTCCTTTCTGGGGCAGGGGAACGCTCAGGCTGAACAAGCTCTTCAATCTAACAGAATAATCAGAATAAGATGACAGAAGGCTTGAAGTTGATGCCTCACTAATTTAATTTTGAAATCAAGAATAAACTTTAAAATGATTTACTGTTTCAATCTTTTCTGGAATAGCCTAATTTCTAGGGCAAGACACAGCACTAAGAGCGAACTGCCAGACTGGATCATGAAAGGGCCATTGCTGGCCTTGTCTTATGAATCTACAACTCACGTCTTGGCTAAAAGAGATTAGAAAGCATTCTGGATCCTGGTCTCGTTCTTCACTTATTTCCAGCAGTTTTATTGTGACTAGAAACTGTCGGCGGGGGAGGGAAATGCAAGGAACCACATCTGTAGGAGCAGGAAAAGAACTGGCTTCAGACTTCTGCCGTTATCATCTCTGCAGGAGATACATTTGGGAATTGGGTAGAATGTAGGGCAACGAGGGAGATGATTTGACAGCGTCTGTACATCACCATGGAAGGGGAAAGGTGAGCATAAACACTTCTGACCACAACGCTGCATCTGGAACGGCCTGCCACATGCTTGTGAGTATTAAGGACAGACACGAATTTTCTTTTTTTAAAAGCTACACTCTATGAAAGAAAGACCCTGCTAGACTCTAACTAATAATGGGCCTGCTGCAGAAAGGTAGTCAAGAACTGCACTTCAACTTAGCCACCATGAGCCAGCATTGCACCCTCGTGCTGAAGGCAGCCAACAACATCCTGAGCTGCATCAGGAAGAGTTTTGCCAGCAAGTCTAGGGAGCTGATCCTTCCCCTCTGCTCAGGGCTGCTGAGGCCAGGCTGTGTGCTCTGTCCAGACTGGGCTCCCCATGACAAGACTGGGACCCCCTGGGTAAGCCCTGCAAAGGGCCACAAAGAGGATGAAGGCACTAGAGCACTTTTCGTATGTGGAGAGGCTGGGAGAGCTGGGACTGTTCAGCCTGGAGAAGACTCGGGGGATCTTATCAGTGTACACCTGATGGGAGGGAATGAGGAAGAGGGAGCTGGGTTCTCCTCAGCAGTGCCTTTGGGCAGGACAAGAGGCAAAGAGCACAAACTGCAAAACACGAAATGACACCTGAACACAAGAAAAAACTTTTTGACTGCCACTGTGGTGAAGCGTTGCAACCGGTTGCCTGCAGAAGTTGTGGCATCTCCACCCCTGGAGTCCACTCAAGACCTGAGGGTACACGTCCTGGGCAACCTGCTCTGAGTGACCCTGCTTAAGCAGGAGGGCTTGGACTCGATGATATCAAAGGTCCTGTCCAACCCCAAGGATTCTGTGAAATCCACAGATATAGATCTCAGCCTCAAGCTGAGCAGTATTCACCAGCCAACTCAAAGGAACAGGCTGAGAGGCAGCAAGAAAACTCTTCTTCCCGTTTCATCCCTGGCCCAGGCGTGCAAGCCCATGCACTGCTTTGTCTAGTTGCTGAGTTCTCAGCCCACCGTGATTCTACCAAGAACAGTAACACAGAGGACACGAACAGGAAGACCTCTGTTTAACGACACAGGAACCTGAAAGTGCACAACTTTTCTCCAAACATGGGCGAAGCTGCTTAGATGCTGTCATCTATGCAAGAGAAGGAAGAAGACTAATGGGTCAGAGGATTATGCAGGAATAAAATACGGGGAAGGCACAAGAGACATTAAAAATACTGATATGTGCCCTGGAAGACCATTTTGGAGTCAACTGACCTGTCCGTACCCGGCTGTGGGCATGAGGTCTCTGCTCTGACTTCCAGTCTTCTCCTCTTCACTGTTTTCTCCACTGTAGTACTTTCTGACACTGCATTTCTCTCGACCTTCAAAACATTGCAAACTTGGTATTAGTAACATTTGACTTTGACCTTTCTATTTTAGAACAAAATCCAGAGTTAATAGACATTCATATTTCACAAAATTGTTCATGTATACACAAACAAAAAAAAAAAAACAAACAAAAAACGATTCAGGAATAAAAGATTAACTGCCTTATTCAAACAGAAGGTAAGCACTGAGAGGCCATCCAGAGAATTATGCTCCTCAGTTTTAAACAAGAAATACTGCTTTCCAGGACATCCTACTTGCTCCATTTTTAGAGGAGGACCTAGGAATGCAATTAGCAAGAATGTTATGCTTGCAGAGACAGTGGGGAATTTGGACAGGACACCTTCACTAATTCAGTCCATCTTCAGAAACTTACAGAAATGTCTGAAAACAAACCTAACCTACCCTGAGCCCTCATTAAACAAAAACAAAAGCAACAAAGTTAAGCTTCTTTGGACACACAGCACCTAGGGAACGACTTAATTATTCAGCAATATTGACCTCATCCAGACTCTCCCAGTGAAGAAACCACTGGACAGCTCAGCTCAGACTTATAGAAGATACATTTAACTGAAGCCAGCAGGGCTCTCTGGTCCTGAGACAGGACTTCATTCCAAGCCCGAGGGAACTGAGAGGAAGATTTCTCTCAACTTGGGTGGTTGAAGGGGAGAATTCAGTGCCACTTTACATTGCCTGACTGACACCCAGACGCTGGAGAACTCTAGCACTGCCTATACAGATGTTCTGCTTCTCCAGACTATTTAGATTCTAACTTTAAAAGAAAACAAGAACACACACAACTTACAAGCTCATCACTCTCCTTTTTTACTTCTTTACCTGTAACAGAGGTATTAGAAAACTTGGTGAATATTTGGTGACTGGACTTTCTTTAACCAACAGAAGTGCATTTTTGCATCACATCTCACTTTCCAAGAACAAGATAAACTACTTTGAAACTGCTGGAATTGCACATGATCTGCTGAAACTGAAAAACTGCAAATACAGCTCTTTCAGAACTCGAATTCCTGTGAATGGGATACCACCCGTCGATGGGATGGGGACAACTGCTCTTCCTGAAGACATTAAAGGAGTCTTCAGAAGAGAAGTGAAGAACTGTTAGCATCACCCTGTGTTCTGGGCACCAGGGAGAAGATGCAAGGACAGCTGGAGCACAGTCTCCAGAGAACATTGGCCGGCTAACCTCTGGGGTGTGGGATCCATACATGTTGGATGGCAAAGAGAAATGCAGGAAATTTTAGAAAAGCAATACAGGATAAAAGAAAGCACACCCTCCTGCTCTACGTCAAATCCACGGTGCAGCCGTACTGCACACAGTTTTGCTTCCTCTAATTCAAAGACACAGTAGATGAAGGGAAAGGGAAAAGCAAGACATAGATCACAGATGTTTCCCGAAATTATCCAGACATAACCCCAGTGACTTACCACAAGAGACGTTCTGCTGAAACGAGTTGAGTTCTAGATACATAGTGCAAATGTAGGGATAAGGCACAAGATGGACATTCTCATGTTTGAATCTCATCTTTGATACTCTCTCCCATCTACTCAAATCTGAGAACAACAATAAGACCAAAGAACATAGCACTAACATTTCAAAGGATCAGGAGTCCTGGCAATGTCTGCTCATAAAGCTTCAAAAGTCACAGCACCCTGCACCTTTGTATAAGGGAGCAGATACAACCTGTCAGTATGGACTTTGTGAGAAAACACTAGTAGCACATTACATGCAACACTCACCCAGGTGATACTCTCCCATTAGTCACTTGTATTAATGGTGTTGTGTTTCCTTAATGGTATCTGCCTGCAGTCCTGACATCCTCCCACAAGAAACAACATGCCGGGTTCTTCCAACCCCATAGAAAAAACCTCATCAGCTTTCCTAACTAAAATTTAATTATTTTTAAAATTACTTCAAAAATTGAAAACGGCTAAGATGCATGAGAGTAGCATCATTCCATTTACTTCAGTTCAAAATGGAAGGAAAAAAGATAATTGGCACAACAACCACCACAGTTACATTCCTTCCTGTGGGTGCAGGTCTGACACCGAGGAGCTCCTGCAGGCAAGACTGGATGACACTAGAGAGCAGTCTCCTTACATGCCTCGGATCTCAGGAAGAAACAGGAAAAATGTATACTTTTAGTCCGTTTGCTAGCAGAAACTAACACCCTGAGGACTAGTGATGGAGCCCAAGATTTGCCTAGATGAAACAGTGACACAACCAGTTCCTTTAAGGGATGAAAATGCTCATCCCAGTTTGGCTTCAAGGACTCTGAGGGCTGGTGATTGACTACGAGTTATGCTAGAGCGAGGAGCGCGACACACCGGCTGCAGGACAACTCATCACGCCAGGCCTCTGAGCTTGCAGTTCTCATCAGTGCCCAGTGCTGGCTGAGCATGTGGATGGACTTCCAAGTTCTAGAATTACACGTTCGTGAATCAAACACTCCTCAAGCGCACAAGCAAAGCTGGCTGAGCTTTCAGGAAGCAAACTAACGAGGCTTCGCTTGTTTGCAGGCTTCCTGCCTGACGATGCTCTTGGCTACTTTCTCTTCTGGGCAGAAACAGGAATACATTGCTATCAGACATACCTGTTTCTGACAAAGGAAGAGGATGACCTCGTTCTTCCCTGCTGTCACGAGCTGCAGCAACAGCACAGTCTTCCGAGACTGGAAGGGAATGCCGTGGAGGTGGAAACACGTGGGTGTTCATTACTCCTGGGCACTCAGAACCACAGGAGGTGATGCCAGAGGGCCTGACCTGATTCACAAACTGACACACCTTAGGGCTGAAAAGGCTTCTCATTCAACTAACTTACTTTTCTCTTCAACAAGAGCCTCAGAAGAGTAATTTCTTTTTAACCCTTTCCACTACAGCAACTACAGTATTTAATCCTCATGCACCTTACAAGAAATCTACTCCGGTCTTCTCTACTAGTGGGCCAATGTTGCTGAGCCTGGAAGGAGTGGTTTACATTTTATTACCCTTTTGAAGCAATGCACTAGCTTTGCTTGCAATTGCATTAGGTGGGCTTCCTGTGACCTTATGTACACAAGTTCATTTTCTCTGGCTCAATTAGGTTTGGAACGCAGGGCTGTTCACCTGAAAACACTGCAAAACACTTTTCACATCAGTTCTCTCTCTGCTGAAGGCAACAACTGAGGAGGATCTTCAGCTAATGTAAAACTGCAAAGCTCAAAGGAGTCGTACTGCAGCTAAAGATCTGCACACAGTTAGACATGAATGTTGAATTAAACAATGCCCAACGGATACAAGTCATTGCATCTTTTCTTTTACGAGTAGGAAAGAAAGGATACATGGAAAAACAGTGAAGTGCTCTGTAGAAAATGGATGTAAATCATCAAGATTTCCAAGGATTACTCGAATCGCTTCCTGAAGAGGCCAAAAAAAGAAAGGAAGCAAGCAAGCACATTAACAACATAGCCACAATTCCACTGTCAAGTACAGTTTCAAGGCTTGGGAAAAATTTACAATTACTTTACAGTTTGCATGAATCATGGAAGAGCAGTTCTAAATATTTTGCTCTTCCTCCTCCCCTTCTTCACCACACTCCCTCCCATCACCTTAGAGTGCACTGCACTGAGACTCACAGAAACCAAAGTGGATTAGTATCTTAATCTTGAATTAACACACATAGTATTGCCCTGTTTCAGAAGTAAAGATAGTCCTCTTTTTCTGAACACTGGTCCAATTCAGTTAACAAAGGAACTGTTCAGCCCCAACAAACGCCTGCTTTACAAATGGGAAACCTTCTCTACTAATACCTTTCAGTATTTTCAAAAGTGAAAAAGAAAAAAAAATAAATTTATCATTTTCCATATCAATTAAAATCAACCCATTTTCTTCAATAATATTTATAATGCTATTATTGTACTCTGAAGATTTTTAAAAATTAAGTAGTAGGAGCATTCTGAAGCAGGCAGGATATTGGTCTCATTTCCTTGGGAATGTCAGGGGCCTTCTTCTATCTCAGGAAGAGGATGACAACAGAACTCACTGGTGGCAACCGAGCATGGTCACAAAGTAATGCCATCATTCACAGAGTGTCTACTGGTACCACTAGCTCCACAGTTACGAGGAAAGCATGTGCAGCTGAGCACCAGGCTCGACTCTGTCAAGCTAGCTCACCAGTACTGCCAGAGCTCCTGAAAAAATAGGAGGGTTTGACAGCTAGTCAAGCCTGAGAAGTTAAAAGCAGTGGTCAGGTCTGAGGTGGAGAGCAAAACCGTGGGAAAGTGCTCCTGCAGAATGAATCTGAACAGGAATCACAAAGCAGCAGGGTCCAACGAGCTCAACAAATAGGAGGTTTCAGTTGCCCAATTTGAACAGTCGGCAGCTTCTTTGAAATATTTAAAATAAAAGCGTTACTCTTCTACACTAACGCTGCCTGTTGATGATGGTTTTCGCCTACATCATTTTTTTCATTCTCGTACTCTCCAGAGAAGCTCCCCCATTACTCTCCCTTGAAATGCTGCATTTGATAAAATGTCCTCTGTCCCATGACAAGCAAAAGATTTGCTCAGCTTAACATTCAGCTCAGGTCCCGTGGGCCTGCTTCATCTCCTACCTCCAACTCCTTGACAGCGCTTTCAGTGTTGTCAAGATCAGGAGCGCTGTGAAACAAAGAGAGAGAGTTAGTCCCACCCCACTCAAAAAGCAATGGAGCTACATTCGCTGGAGGAGTTTAAACAACAACAAAACATCACTCCCATTGCACAAATAGTTAGCAGGCAGATGAATTCCTCATATATTGTTCTTCAAAAGCATCCGTTAGTCCACAAGGATGGTTTCTTTTCAATTTTCTGCCCATCTGTATTTTGTGTGTCTGAGGATACAATGGGCGGGAAAGATCAGATCTTTGTAACCTTTAGGATTGTTTTTTTCACCAGGTGCCCTCAAACCAGCACCTCTGTCGTCCAACCTGTTGCAATGCCATCCTGCTCAAGGAACTAAAAGCAGGAACTAGCAAGACATGTTTCTTAATCCCCTCTACGGCGCAAACCTGCAGGGATCGGGCCTTCACAGCATTGGAGCCAGGCCCTGCGATGCTGGGTGTTGTGTACTGCCTGCACCAAACCGTGACTTGATGCAAATACTAACTACATCTTTGTAAGCTGTCTTCTCAAAAGTTGTCTGCTGCCAACAATCAAAGGCATGGGAGAGAGAAGGTCTTAAAGAAAACTCAAACCCATTAAAAAGTAAACATTACTGTTACTTGGTAATAAGTAAATAAAGCAGAGGGTAAGGAATTATGGCACGCAAGTCTTCTCTGGTATAGGGGCTGGTAGGCAGCCATTCTCATATCCTCCACATTCAGGGGCCCCAGCCAAAACTCGGTCAGAGATGAGAACTTTCCTTCCTCTTCAGAAAGGCTCTCTCCTTGCTTGCTATGGAACAAGCTAATGACAGGAATTACACAGCACCCCACAGCAGGACAGATGTCACCCACCCAAGACTTATGCTGTAGCCATGAAGCCTTCATGAATCAGCAGGGAAACAAAAGTACGATTCAGGAAGGGACATTGCTGAGGGATGGGATGAGAAGAGGGTGGAAAGAATGGAAGAAAGCAAGGCACCACCCAGGGTCTCATGACAAGGATATCAGATCTGCTATGTGACTGCAGGGCATTCACTGGCTGGCTTAAGGGGCCCTGGGGAGGAGGGGGTGATTGTTTTCTTTTAAGCCTGGAGTGTAGAGATGCAAAACCAGACTCCTCTTTAAGGGAAGAACCTTTCTTCTTACCTCATTTTCCCTGGGGATTCAGGATAATTTCAGTGAAGATAACCTTGCTCTATCAAAAGCGTGTAATCAGCTCCAGGGCCAGCTGAGGCCACCTACTGCAGCTCTTTCAATGTTCTTTTGGGAACGTGTCCTCAAATCGGTCAAAAGGAGTTTCACTTCCTAAATCTGCAGGCTGACCGACAGCACTGCTTTGGGCATAAGGCTGAGTATATACTTAGGAGTTACTCCTTAGGAACTGGGAGTGAATCCCGAGGCTTTGAACAAGTAACCCCTACTTACCACAACCATGACATGGTGGGGAAGAGTTTGACAAGTTTCGCTGCAAAAGGAGTTCCTTTTGCTATGTTTGACCATACTGATATGAAGACCGACCTGATGAGCTCACTACCAATTCCAGAAGTTACAATGAAATACAAAAGGTGCTGCAAAAGCCTCGTGTCCTGCTCCTTCAAGTGTAACACTGAATTGCAAGAACTGAGGTAGCAATGCACACAACCCGTGAGACATGCAGGGGCAGTGACAGACTGCCAACCTCACACAAATGTTGTGCCCTCTTTACCACCAGGAGATCAAACACCTGCAGGCTGTTCAGAAACCTCTACACACTACCAGCAGTGCCTTCCAAAGGGATTATGCTGAGGGGAAGAGCTTACAGGCAAGAGCAACATTTCAAGGATCTTCTGAATACTACACAACACCGCAAGACAGACAACACACCTTCCTCTCCAAAATCAACAGAGAGAACAAAACAAGGAGGAAGGTTAATCCTCCTGGATATGACACTATTATTCCAGTAAAACACTAATAAGCAAAACTAAAGAAGCAACTGCATTTCAATTCATCCCAAAATCAAGTCGTGCAACAGCATTTCAAAGAGCCAGGCTACTTCTACAAAGGAAAAGGAGCATGGCACAAGATTTAATGGAGCTTCAGGTCTGCAGACAGCCTAATCGGCATGATGGTCACAGCACATTTGCTTCCATTCTTCTGCAGCTAACAACAGACACTTCCAGACGTAAACTCAGGTTCTGGCAGTGTCTATGCACATCTCACTGCAAAAGGAAACCCACTCTCACTCATAAAACCACTCTGTAGGCAGATGCTTGAGTCCTTGCCGATGGCATTTTAGCCCTGCTGCAACCTCACTGGCATGAAAACAGAGTTTGGGGATCCTGTTCTCTTTCCCTGATGCAGGGATACTTGCTGACTCAAAAGGATCTCACTCCTACTTTCTGCATGGTTGCCACCATCTGAAGAGAGATTTCACCTCAACAGTTTATAAGACTTTCCAAAGCCTTTGAGGGCATCAACCTTGAACAGCTGTCTGCTGATGATCACAGCCTTGAAGGATGCACACAGGGAGCCAGATTACGCTGAGCCACTGCTTTGGGGGTTTTGATGAAGATTTATGAATACTACCGTTATTAATTATTTATCAGAGGCTGAGGCAGCAACAACTCATAAAGTTTCAGACCAACTTTGAGCTCTACAGAACACTCCTTCAGCAGGACACAATCTATAAGCAGCACGTGGTTTGGAACACTACCCTTAAACCTGAACACCTCCAGCTCCTCTGATTACTACCGTCCGCTACCTCTGGGATTCTGAGTCCCCTCTCAAACAAAAAGCTCCAGAGCTCCTTGAGTGAGCTGACCAAGGTTTTGCCCACTCCCAGAAGCACTTGCCCATCATCTCTGTGTGTCTGACCAGGAGATACAAGCAGACTCCTCCAAGGCAATACCCTCAGGGAAAGTCTGGTTTTCACCTCTAAAATACCATCCAGTTTACTTCTTTTACATCCTCCCCACCTGACCAGACTAATCAGCACTCCCTGCTTTAGTTACTTTGCTGGCTACTGACTCACAACTTCCTCACTGAGGCTTACCACACAACCGTTACCTCCCACAACTCTCCTAATTCACTGTCCCCTGAAAACCCAAAGTCTGGTTTCCTTTCTCTTCATTGCCTAACAGCAGTACCACAGACTAAAATACTTCCCCTCCACTCTCATTTCTCAAGCTTGCCACTGCAGCGCCTTCTAGAAACAGAGAGAAGCAGCTATCCAAAAAGTCTGCCTGCAGGAGAGGCACGCTGTTGTTTCAAGACAACAGGACAGGTTTGTCACAAACACATCTGAAAGAGGAGTGGCAGTGGAAATGGAACCTTGAGAGCAAGAATCCCAAGAGCACAAGCATCTGCTGCCAGCAGCCAGTGAGAGTTTCCAAAGACTCCTTCTACAGCCACGCCTCAGCATCAGATTGCAAGGCCAGCGAAAGGCACGTTGCGAACAGCAGACAGCCCAAGAAATAAGTACATATTTTGAGTAGAGAGCTCCAAGGCGGTGCTGGTTCTGGCTGGGGTAGAGTTCATTTTCTCCACAGCAGCTTGCGTGGGGCCATGTTTTGGATTTGTGTTGAGTGTTGGATAACACAGGGATGTTTTCGTTACTGCTGAGCAGTGCTTACACAGCGTCAAGGCCCCTTCTGCTCCTCACCCCACCCCACCAGCGAGTAGGCTGGGGGTGCACAAGGAGCTGGGAGGGCACGAGGCTGGGATGGCTGACCCCCACTGAGCCCAGGGATATTCCAGACCACAGGACATCATGCTCAGCAATAAAATTGGGG